GCCTTGAAACCTGGTACCTGATCTTAGAAAGTCATTCAGCAGTTCGCATGACCATTCCATCCCCGTTGACCTTCATTAAATTAATTCACAAAATTAAGTTACGCTCGATTCCACGTCATCAATCCAGCAATGATAAAACCGGGTTGCTAAACTGACGCTCTCAAATGAGGTTTCTCGGTTCATTTGGCATTTTTACTCAAACGACCTTCGCGATTCTAACAGCGCCAACTGGGTGCATGTGATTTTATGCTATAAGCTATAAAACTTTACCGTGAACAGAAGAAAGTTTCATGAACTTTCTGGAAGGGTGGACGCCGCGTGTTTATGTACGGTAGTGAAGGAACTGTTGCTATCATACATCACGATGTGTGCAATACGTTTCCCAAAAAATAATGCAGGCTCGCAGCGATCGCCAGCATCAGCGCTTCATCGTCATTGGGACCGTTGTGCGAACGGACTGCGATCTCTGCTGACGGTGGGGTTGCACTCTCATATGATGAGGAAACCCGTTCAAGCAAGTAACCTCTTCAACGCATCCGTTGCTAAGTGAAAGGTAAAGAAAGCGTTGCGCTTCATGGCAAGTATCTGGAACCACCGCAAAATACGAAAGTTTGTTCAGACTCGGTATATGGTCATACCTGGTCGTCTTACGAGGGTCCGTTATGTCACTGACTGTGGAGAGTTCCAATCTGTGCGAATCTTATTTTTTGGCGCTAACAAGAAGAACTGAATCCTCCTGTAGAAGACTGGAAGATTTATTGCCATAGCTTTGATGCCCCTTCATATCTACATTTTCATGGGAGGCAAAAGAGAAGGCTGGGCACATTTAAGGGGATTCAGAGGTGTCGTTGGCGCAAATGAGTGCGTGCGTGCCTTCCATCATTAACTGAACACACATACAATCTTAATGCTCCCGGAAAATTGCCAACCCTGACTCGTCGACCACTGCTGTCATGGTATCCGGTCACATCACGTACTTCTGCCGGTGTCATCGCCTCACCCCACAATCAGAGGCGATAACCGTTTAACAAGTCGGGAACTCGTTTTCGTCCTTTTTGTAATCAGTGCTAGCCGTAATATCCACGACGCACTTCGCAGCTGGAATTTGTGTCAGAGCCCCTGGCAGCTAAGGTGGCATTCCTCATTCATCTGCTACCAGGAGGTAAGGCATTTCACAAGACTCAACAATTCTGAACATTAGTCGAAATCATGAAATTAGGTTTTCACGCAAAACTTAAAAACTCGAGTTCAATAATATGACGTAAAACACGTTCAACCAATATGCGGAAATCATAACCGGAAGTCAGACAAACTGAACCTTAAAATATTCAGATTTAATGTTTGTTTTTGTAATAAAAATCATACTAAAAACCAACATAAACACAGCTTTACGACAAACGAACTGTTAGTTTTGCTGATGTTAAGCCACCGCCGAGGCTTTGATTCGAAGGTCACTTTTTCCTCTTCAGGGTAAAACTGCTAATGTCCGACTATTGCTATGGCCATTTGGCGCGAAGTCTGGATTGTACAGGAGCATATGCATAACGAAAGTATTATCCAAAGGTACTGCTATGGTTGTAAGCAAATAAACCGATGATCAATGCAAGCAGTTGCTGTTATAAGAATGCTATAAGAAGAAATCGCCAAGCCAGCCAAAATTTGCATATTCTTCCTCGTTCAAGTTTTGTAACCTCCTGATGAAGACGTTATTACTGTAAGGTATTAACATTTTCAACTCTAAAACCTAATTTATTTGTTCTTACGCAAGAGCGCGTTAAAAAGAGCTTAGCACGTTCTAACTAGACTTCGTGGTGCATTACACCATCCCCTGTACTTGGTACCATAACAGGCTATTTGACACATCACAACTTCATGCCCTTTGGATATCCGCAGCGCCATCTGCATCACGCTTCATTTTATTGGCCAAGGCAATTACCTGATTGATCCTCAACAGGGTTTGAGGAGTCAGCAATTCTCATATGCTTTTGGAGTAGGTTAGTAAGCATCAAGTCTCTTGAAAACCGTATTTCATAGCCGTATTAAATCGTATCCCGTATATTCAGTAGTGTTCTTTAAAAATATCTTTCTACCGACTTCTTTATACCTGTCAAGGGGGCCATAATATCAGGTATTTTAAAAAATATTGTGCACCGTTCGTTTGTAATTTAGCAAATATGAGCAACTCTGAAAACGAATAACCTCTTTTAATGAACGTGCGCGACCATGGAACTAGGAAAATAATCAACTGATCCAACAGATCGTTGAAAGATTCATAGTAGAGAGCACCAAACACAGCATATTGGCAACACGTTGCACTACATACACCGTAGCATCATCACAGCTATGCATTAATGGCGGCTTGAAGGCATTTATATCCAACAACAGAGGAACAATACTACAGTCTGCCAATTGGCACATACTTTACAAACAAAGCGATGCTAAACTGCCTCATCGCAATGTTGACCAACATCACATTAAAAAAGAACCGGATCTTTGTTTTGTTGACCGAATTGTGAGCATCAAATTAGTGCTTGTGCCCTAACTTTGAAGAAATGTATTCACTGCACATCCAGGATTTCACTGAAATGACTTCTTTATAAGTAGACCTAATCAAGAATGGTCTCTGCCATTGACAGATACACTGATCTAACTGAAACAGTGCCACTGGGGGATCAGATGCTGGGCAATACGAGAACTGTCCGTTTGCCGAAGGCGTACCGCAGATAGGTGCTCTCTGACCCAGATGTACAACTTCTGGTACGTCTTTCCAATGTACACCATGCTGCAGCCTCCGCACTGGATTTTGCATACAACAATTAAAACCTCTTCCGGGCTTGTTGGCCTACACCTCCTGAATCAGACATCGCCCAATCTTCTGCCAGCCTTGCAGTGAACTCGAAATCCATGTCATTAAGCTACCACGTGATACGCTGAGACACCTCACACATGAACAGTAAAATTTCCACTGAATGACATGGACGGAACATCGTACAATTTCGACATGGGGTGCAGAAGTTCTTCGTCAAGCAGCATCCTTCCGTAGCCATCTTTTACAAACGTCTCATATAGAAGATGAATTTCCGCATCTAGACCAGCGGCCATGCTACAGGTTTAATTGAGCTTGTAAACCCATAATCTTCACAACGTTCCTAAGCAAACCGGGAGAAACTTATGACATCGGGTGGAGGCATCGATTGGAGTGGGTGGGTTTCTGACAGACGGAAACCTCAAATTCAAGCGCTGATGTCCTCTTCACCAGTGTGTCCAATCCTATGAACAATTTCGCAATCCTGTCGATCGTCTGAGCTAACATACCTCACTTTCTAACCACTTGCCAACACTCATTGCCAAAAAAACTATTAAAAAAACAAATAACTTACCAAGGCTAGCTTCTCTGATCAATAACAACGGCAGAAGTTAACGATAATGAAAATTAATAATCAACTTGCATTAAAGAAATTCTGTAGGATACAAGCATAACGGTTCATTTCATGGCATTCCATAATTTCAAAGGCATCATATAACGTTTATTTCGACAAAGTATTCGTTCTGTTATTATTACAGTATTATTCGTATGAATACCGTAGTGCGCAATGTGAAATTATCTCCACAGCATTATTTCCTCTCACTGATGCCACCTTCACATGGATGAACGTGCGTATGGCAATGGATACTAGATACCAGCTGATTGAGGCATGGCAAATAAGTGGCTACAGGATCACTCCTGTGAAACTGAAAGAAGTCGTAAATAAAATAAAGAACATCTCAGCTCATACTATACCATGACGCATTCAGCAAATAATGATCATACCACCTCACCCTTCCAAATGATTC